AACCCTTGGCGGGAGCGCCGCTGTGCTCCCAAGTGGCGCACTGTAGCAGTGCGCCACCGGGCCGGCCCCTCCAGCTTTCTTATGAATAGTGTTTGCGTGGTTTGTCTTTTTCTTTTCTTTTACTTTTAACCTCTTGCTGTCTTTCCATTTAAAATGAGTTTCTTGTAGACATTGTAGAATTGGTCTTGCTTTTTATTCAACTGACAATCTCTGCCTTATTGTTGCAATGTTTAGACCAATCACGTTTAATATGAGTATTCATATGGCTGGGTTTTACCGTCTTGTCTGATATCTGTTTATCTCATCTTTTCTTTGTCTTTCCATTTCTCTGGCTTATTTTAGATTGAGTAGTTTTTAGTACTCCATTTTATCACCAGTATTTCTTAGAGGGTTGCTTTAGGGTTACAGTCTGCATCTCTAGGTTACCATGGGCTGCTTACAGGTGAAGCTGTGCCATTTCACAATCACAGAAGGCATGTCTCCCCTGCTGTATTGCTGTCATTCATTTCACAGCAGTCCAGACACTCTGTTTTTGCTTTCAATGGCCAATTATCCTTTAAAGTAGCTAAAATTTAGAATAAAAGTCACTAATATTTATCCACATATTATTCATTTTTGTTGGTCTTCATTCTTTTGTATAGATCAAGAATTCCAACTTTTTGATCTCAGGACCCCTTTAAACTCTTAAAAATTACAGTGGACCTCAAAGAACTTTTAAATAAAATTTTAATCTATCAAAATTTGCCATATTAGAAATTTAAAATAAGAAAAATTTAAAATATTTGTTAATTTACTTAAAAATAGCAGTAAGCTTATTTCATATTAATATTAATTATGTTTTTTAGTGAAAAATAACTATTTTCCAAAACAAAGGAATTAGAAGGTGGCAATATTTTACAATTTTGTAAGTTTCTTTAATATCCAGCTTACTAGAAGACAGCTGGATTCTCCTATCTGCTTTTGCATTTACTCTGTTACAATATGTTGTTTTTATTGAAGTGTATGAAGAAAATGTGGCTTCACGTAGATCTGTAGTTGGAGAGGGGAGAGTATTTTCGTACTCTTGAGATAAGTGTGCACATCTGTTTTTGATAGTACACTAGAACTTGGCAAGTGTAGTTTCTCAAAGATTAATTGCAATGTGGAATTTGAAACTATCATCAATTAACTTATTTTAAAAATTGAGATATAATTCATATGTCATGAAATTCACTATTTTTAAAATGTATAATTCAGTGGTTTTTAATATATTCACAAGGCTGTATAGCTATTACCACTATCTAATTCCAGAACGTTTTTATCACTTCAAGAAAAAGAACTCCGTACCATCAGCAGTCACTCCCTGTTTCCTCCTCCCCTTGTCCCCTGACGGTTGCCAGTCTACTTCCTGTCTCTATGGATTTGCCCAGTGTAGATATTTCTTGTAGATAGACTCATAGAGTATATGGTCTCTTGTGTCTGGTTTCTTCCACTAGCATGATGTTTTTAAGTTTCATTCATGGTGTACCATGTTTCATTCATGGTGTAACATGTTTATTCATGGTGTAACATTTTCACTCCTTTTTATGGCTGGATACTGTTCCACTGTGTCATAGCATCGCAGTTTATTTATCTGTTCATCAGCTGGTGGGCATTTGTGTTGTTTTTTACTTTTTTGGCTATTGAGAATGATGCTGCTGTTTTTTTTTTTTTTTTCGTGTCCGGCAACGGATCACAACCCTCAGTGTCGCGCCTGTACCGGACCGGGACCGGCAATGGGATCACAACCCTCGGCGCTACGCCCACACCTCGCTCAGCCAGTGAGCGGGAACCGGTCTGTATGTGGGATCCAAACCCTCGGCGGGAGCGCCGCCGCGCTCCCAAGCGGCGCACTGTAGCAGTGCGCCACCGGGCCGGCCCTGATGCTGCTGTTTTTTTTTTTTTGTGTGTGTGTGTGTGTGTACATATGTTTTCATTTTTCGTGGGTATGTATACCTAGGGGTGAAATTGCTGGGTTGCGTGGTCACTTTATGTTTGACTTTCTGAGGAATGGCCAAACTGTTTTCCACAGCAACTGTACCATTTTATGTTCCAACCAGCCACATCTGAAGGTTTCAGTTTTCCCCATCCTTGCTAATTGTTATTTTAATAACTGTTTTAATAACAATTTGTTATTTTAACAACAGTTTGGTTTCCTTGTTATTTTCTTTTTTGTTTTGCAATTCCACAGTGACATGGAGCCTCTTTTTATGTGCTTATGGCCATTTATATATCTGCTTCGGAGAAATATTAATTCAGATTCTTTGCGTTTTTCTAAATTGGGTTATTTGTCTTTTTATTGTTGAGTGCGTTGTTCTTTTATATATTCTGGATGCTAGACTAGATCAATGAACTTTTTATACACTGTTATATTAAAATCTGTTTATTTTTTTTTGCATTCTTCCTGGATCTATTACCCACCCATGATTTTGTAACATCTTGCACTTGTTGTTTGGAAAATTGTTTCACTGAGTTATGTAGATTTTCCAAATGTTGTCACATTTCATGATATATATCAAAAATCACATTCATTAATATCACCACCAATCTCATCAGAAAAGCCTTTACATAATAGAAAACTATTTAGCTTTTGGTGGCAGAAACGTTTTCTAAAATTTTAATTTTAATTTTTATCTTAAATTCACATTTTATCACTGGTAATGAATACTGACCGTTGTTTTCCTTAAGTGATATACACTTCATTTAGTTTTTGTTAACACTTCATTGGTTTTGAGATAGTGTACAGGCATGCAAGTGCAAGTAGCTGTGCCTTGTTAGCTGTTGAGCTTACAGCTCGGCTGCACACAAACTGTCCTGGGGTCGCGGTGGTCTTTCCATGTGTGGCAGAGATGCTGTGCCTACTCACTGTTTGATCACTCAGCTTTAAAAACTGTTACAGCTTTTACTGCTTCATCAAGGACCTTTGTAAGTGAAGTTGGCTTTCTTTTTATTGTGGGTGGGTAGTGGTGAAGAATCCATGACAACTTTTTGGTGTCAGTGTCTTGATTGGTTTTACCACCGTGGCTGTGCACTGTTAATGCAGACTTCAGCCTGGTGAGGAGGTACAGGACATCTTAGTCTTTTTTATGGAGATAGTTTTGACCTTGGGTAGTCAGTCCCTGTAAGCATGAGAGATTGCCTGGAGTCCACCGGCTGCTTTAAGAATTGATTGCAAACATCCATGTTTCCATTTGTATCGTTTTCCTTCAGCCTAAACAACTTTTAGTATTTTTTCAGGCAGTCCTGCTGGTAATGAATTCACTCAGCTTTTGCTTTTCTGAAAAAGCTTTTATTTTGCATTCACTCTTTAGAGATATTGTGGCTGGATATAGAATTTTTGGTTGATAGTTTTCCTGAGATAAAGATACAGTCTGTTTTGTTCTGCTGCTGGGGGTGCTTCATGGGATGGATGGGATGGGACTGGGCTGACAGTTCTCATCCCAACTTTGTTTTTTAAAATTCAGTACCTACTTTCAACTTGTCCTCCCATTTATAGCCCCACTCTCCATTCCGAGGATGGGAGGCGTCTTGGGGGAGTTTTATCCACCCCCGCCCTGTCTTTTCTTCCCATGCTTGGGTTCCCCTGGCTCTGCACCGGCAGCCCCCCAGTGGGCTTTGCATCTTTCGCTTGTTTGCTGTGTTCTCCTGTTTCCTTCTTGGTCCTGTGGACTTCCTGCTTTTAAATTTCGCTTTCTGTGTGGTTTTGACATCAGAGATACAGGAAAATGTTTAATATGCCGTGTTTAGTCTCCTCGATTTTTTTGGTAATTTATATTTTTCTTTAAAAAGCCCATTTCATTAAATATTTAAAATTAATTTACATTTTAAGAAGAAGGATTTATTGTTACATGGTACTTTTTAAATGGTTTTATTTATTTATTTTATTTTATTTATTTATTTTTTAAAGATGACCGGTAAGGGGATCTTAACCCTTGACTTGGTGTTGTCAGCACCATGCTCTCCTAAGTGAGCAAACCAGCCATCCCTATATAGGGATCCAAACCCATGGGCCTTGGTGTTATCAGCACCGCACTCTCCCAAGTGAGCCACGGCCGGCCCTAAATGGTTTTAACTTACCTCCAAAAATATGACTATTTGCTTCATGTTGCATATTGGTTGGTATTTTCTTTCTTTTCTTGGTTAGATTTTCCAAAGGACTATTTTAGTCATGCTTGCAAAATGTGATTGTGGGTTTACTTGTCCTTTCTTCTGTTTTCTAATTCATCGCTTTTTACACTTATCTATATTGGTAATTCCTTTTTCTTTTTCTTAGTTTTAAAAATAATTTTTCTACCTTCTTGATTTGCATGATGAGTTCACTTGTCTGTATTCTTGTTTAATGATACAATAGTCCGTTCTGCGCCTTTTCATCTGGTTACAGCTTGCACTGCATCCCTTTAAGCACTGACCAGGTTTTCCTCCACGTTACTATTTTGTAACTGTCATTTTGATACTCTTGAGTTAGTACTTAAATTTCTAAGAAGCTGTGTTAATTTTTTACGAGGCGTCCAGTTGAACTTTTATAATGAAATTGTATGACTATTGTGTTTGTGTGATCAGACGTGTGGCCTATCACAAGTTGGGCTTTGTGGTGTGGCGTTGCCGCCAGGCCGTTTTGTAAGTGGCCCCTGCTGGCGCCTGCTGAGGCTATTGAACTTACGCTTTTTGCACGAGTGTTGTTTAGTGAGTGGCCACTGCCGTCCCTTAGTGATTCTACCATGCTGTGAGGGCCAGACTTCACACTGGCATTCGGGAGGCATGGTTATTTCCTGGTAGTAGCAGGCTGACTTTGTCATCCATGCAAAGTGTGGATCATGTGGAATCCATATATTTCTGTGTCTGTATAATAGGCCTAAAGAATACTGCGTAGAGGAGTCAGAGTTACAGCAGGTCAAGTGGGGGTTTCTGGGTGGTGAAGTAGCAATATGGATATGAGTGTGGGAAAGCAATCGCCTTTTTAATGCATTTTTCTTCTACTTCAGGTGAATCTTAAAATGAGAGAGATAACAGAGAAAGAAGTTAAATTAAAGCAGCAGTTACTGGAAAGTCCAGCTCATCAAAAGGTAATGGGTACATTTATTTTCTCTGGAATGTACTAAGTTAATGTTACTCTAACTTAATGTTGGTCCCAGTTTTAAAGATTTTTATCAGTAACTACTACTTGCTTATTCTTTATTTTTATTTACCAAAAAAGAAGCCAGCCTCTTGGATTCACCTGCTGGGCTCTCACTGCCTTAATGAGAGGCGACCCCAGGAGCCTGTCCCTCATCCCTCCCTGGAAAGGGGTCGTTTTTGTGTTGAACTGTAGGAGGATGAAGGGTGTGTTGAGAGGAGTTGGGAAGCTAAAGAGTAAGGGACATAGGGCTTCCCTGGAGTTAGCGTCGAAAACTCAGCAAATGAGGAGTAAATTGCCTGTTGCTAAAGGCGCCCTTGACAATCCCTTAAATTGGCTGTGAGGTGCAGCATAGCTGGTGGTGTGTCTGTGAACCCCTGTGGTTCAGATGGGTACATGCTGCGTGTCTAATGAAGTGGTGCGGACGGCTGTGTACACATTCTGGTCACTAGTCTCTTCCCAGCATTATTTTCTCTTTTGCCAAGCACATGGGTGACTGAATCCACTCAGTTAAATGCACATATGCTGCGGCCCGACCGTCTGTTCGGTCTCCCTATTGGAGAAGCTTCATGCCTTCCTACCCTTGCTTCCTCCCTCCCTCCGTGGGCACCACACACTGCTCACTCTTTGGTTAGCCAGGTGGGTGGCAAGTCAGGCTCCTGTATGTGCCTCCCTTATCTGGATCTTGTGCATCATGCTCCTCTCTGTGCTCAGAGGGACACTTTTAAACATGTGGGCACGGACTAAGTAAGCACTGGCCTCTTCCCGAGTTAGAGTTGACTTATTGCTTTTTGGTACCCAGCCTGTACCAAGTTTCCAAAGTATTCTTTGCTACTGCAAAGGATAGTGTTGTGGAGGTGACTTATAATCTTTCATTTTAATCATCTGATGATAAACATGCCACGGTCATGTACACCTGAAAGACTTTGCTTACGGGGCTGTCCCACCTCTGCTGCGTAAGCGCCGTGGGGAGGTGTGCGGGACGTCCTCCTGTGGACCTCCTCTGCTGATGCTCCTCTCCTGCTTCCTTCTCTTGCGTCCCGAGCAGTCTCCCTCCAAGTGGTATTGGAAGTTAGTGCCTGTAAGTGACCCCAAGCCACCAGCTGCCATCTTCAGAGCCATCTTGTCGCAACTACTTGCTTCCATTAAAAATTGCTCACACCCAAAACTGTCTTTTTGTTTGTTTGTTTGTTTGTTTAAATGTCCACCTTGGGATTGTTATTACACTTTATGTAGTATGAGTGATGACCTGAGTCTGGGTTGAATATTCTTTGTAATATGGCACTTTGGAATTTGAAGTGACATTTTGCCCATTTTCTTAGTTACTACTTTAAGTGACCAACATAAACATAAAAGACAGGATGCATTCTCTTTTCTGATACATACTAGAAGGAATGAGAAGTTATCTGATTACCCCAGTTATTTTTTACATCTGATGTTACCTCACCTAGCAGTGGTATTTACCATGACATCTCTTAGTAACTGAATACTGGTTATAGAGATGAGGCACCTGGTGGGAGGGTGCTGAGGACTCAGTGAACTCTTGCTAGGGTCTGATTCCTCTGTCCTTGTTCTGGGTGCTGCAGCCACTGCTGCTGCATTGGTCTGTGCAGAGTGGAGACGGGGCATTCCCTTGCTCCCAGACAAGGGTCTGTGTTAGGTTAGCACAGACATAGGATTTCTGTAGTTAAGAATGAATTTTAACATCATAACAAAGTTAAAAAACAGTAATTCATTTCTACAATTCTAGTTATGCTCCACCTTGTGGCCCTTTCTGGAAACGGAACCTGTTTGTTATCCTGTCCCTATGGAGAAAGCGCGTGGCACTCAAATGGGGCCTTTTTCACACGAACTTTCAGAACACAAATCTTTTTGCAGATGGTTTTATATGCATTCCTTTACTTGCCTGTCTCCTTTACTTTCATCACCTGGACCAGATTATCCTTTGAATTCTGTCATACAGGAGATACCAAAGGATGTCAGCTGGTAAATGGGGTCCCCTTGAGCAGTGATGCATTCTGCCTCAGAGCTGATTGATCATTTAGCTTTCTCTTTGAAATATATTAATAAGATAGAAGAGAAAAGCATTTATGAGTGTTTACATATCTTTTAACTTCTGAATCCTGAAGGTTAAAGAGCTAAATATTAATACATTTATATTGTTTAGTCAAGGGCTCAGAAAATTCAGTTGTCCTACAGCAAGTAAGGTTTCGGATGAGAGTTTCATAAAAACAAAAATGTGGCCAAGAACAGAGTCCCTTAAAGTTTCTTTTATTAGACAGTTTATAACTACTTAACTGTTCTATGGTGGTGTTCAGTAAATAGGTTGATGAGGATAAGTACGGAAAGGTCTGGTAAAGATTGGCAGGTTCAGAGGTTTTATCTTAAGACTTTACAGCCTAGGGGTTTGAAAACACTGATTTGCAAGGCAATCACACACAAGCTTCCTGGATCCTTGTAGCGCAGGGAGCGTTTTACCTGATTTTAAGCCCACTCCATCCGTCTTTAATTGGGAAACCATTTGCTTCACTGCATGGCTGTGCTCGCTCGCTGTGCGTCTCCTGTGTTCACGTGGAAGCCTGGCCTGGCGCATGCCGTGCTGCACTGCATGCTGGAGCCCGTGGACTGTGCACGTGTGGTACAGTATGAGGCAGGGTGTGTGTGTAGAGTGTGCGGTGGGCTCCGAGAAACAAGTTAAAGTGTGTGTTGAAACACAGTTCATTGACATGCAATTGCTTTGTTGTTAAATTTAAAATAATGTGTTACAGATGTTTTCTATTAAGCATCAATATTATTTTCCACTATATACTTACTGAGATAACTTGAAAATTTTATATTGCTGAGAGACTATTTTTCTTTGAGTTGAATTATCTGCATAACTCTCAGAAATCTGTGTTGTGTTTTGTTTTGTTTTCCATGCTGGTTTTTTTTCTCTAGTTTATATTGTGTATTTTCCTCCTCTGGAGAAAATTGTGGCTGGTGGGAAATGCCATATCTTAAAGCTGTATTATGGAAGTTGCACTGTAGGCTGCTGGAGCTACAGGCAGCCTGTGTATCTGTGCTCTTGTGAACCGGCACTTGGCCATGGGAGCCGATCCGAGGGTTTGGTCAGCTCCGGATGCCATGCACTGTGTTTCCTCTAAATGCAGAAGTATGGAAGCCATGAACAAGTATTTGTTTTATGGAGTACTTTGCATGGATTTGGTTTCCTGATGCTTCATTGCCGTTATTAGAGTGGCTGGTTGTTGTATTATGAGAAATTTTGTTTAATCTGGTTTCTGAAATTTCTCAAAATATGTATTAATGCTGTTTTGTATTTTTATTATTGGCTGAGATAATGCTGGTAACACTTAGAGAAGTAACAGTAACTTAGGTCCTCCATGCATTAGGACGTTCACCATTTAACTTGTTTCTCATTAGTTTATCGTGTGTTGGGTTTTGGTAGTGTAGATGTGCGTTCTGCCTCCTTTCCTGTGTGTGCCTTCTCTGTGGCTGTCTCCGCCTCCAGTGCCAGTTTAGAGTTAGACTGGTCCTGGTGGCTCTAGCAATGCAGTGCAGTTGCTTGGCCATGAAGCCCTGTTCCCCAGTTCTTGACATATATGTTCCAGGCAAAGCACGTGATGCAGATGTTTGAACTTTCTCAGATGACTGTACTTGTTCTTCATGCTGTCCAGGGAGGCATTGTGTTGACTTTTGATCTGACGGTGCGCCTGTAACATATATGGGGGTAAGGAGGCAGCATGTACAGAGACCATTTTCCTTTCATCAACCGTAGGTCCGCTACCGACGAGAGCACCTTTCTGCTAGGCAGTCACCCTACTTCCCGCTGTTGGAGGATTTGATGAGAGACGGCAGTGACGGCGCTGCTCTCTTAGCTGTGATCCACTATTACTGCCCCGAGCAGATGAAGCTGGATGGTGAGTGTGGACTGCTTTCCCTTGAGCAGAGTACATTGATCCAATTACTAAAAACATCCAAAACAGAGTAACACCGAATCCTTAAATATCAGATGTGGTATTAGCATATAGATGAAAAATTGGGGATGATATGCATATACTTAGCCTTCATTTTATCTGATGAAGAAATTGTACTTGGAAAGGATGGGGTAATGGATGCCTTGGTTGGGGGAGGGGAAGGAGTGTTGGGTATTCTTTGAAAGTCAGCCTGAAAAGCAGTGAGAGCCCAGGTTCCCTTTGCCTGGGACAGTGTCCTCCCCACACACCCTCAAGAGATGGGGGGACCAGATAGGCTCTAGTCTCAGACCAGAGGCACAGAGGCAGGCAAGGATGAGGTGATACCCTGAAGTCAGGGCTTTTGTGTAAAATTCTTTATGCTGGAAGGTGAGACCAGTTCTCCTCCTGGTTTGCCCTCTGTAGTTATCCTCTGACCCATACTTGGCTTACCATGCCAGGCTGCCCATGTGCTGAATGGGGAGGGAGTCTGCTCTGTAGAGACTGTCCTCAGGAGAAACACCCACAGCCAGTGATGCTTGGCTGTCCTCTGTAAACAGCTGGTTCCCTGCCCAGTCACTCTGCAGAAAAGCTCACTTCCTAATGCTGCCTCACTTAACTGAATGGGCAGCCAAAGATCCCCTGACATTTGAGGAAAGCCACCAACCTAAATGAGAACCCAAATCAACAGAGGTGGTGCAGGTGAGGAGGAGAAAATATTAGAGATGAGAGTGGGTGGTGGAGCTGGGGACCAAGAACAGGAAGCTGGAAGAGAATGTCTGGAAGACAGTGTCTCATAAGGACACGCAAAATAATTAGACTCAAAAGAGCTCTTGGGAAGGGAACATTTGGGTGCCGAAATGTAAGAATTCACCCAAGTGCTAGATGACAGAGATTTCCCAGAAAGTCAAATAAAAAAGTGATGACAAATAAGGGAGAAGAAGTAGAAAAATCTGAGGACCAGTCTAGGAAGAAAGAAAGCAGAGAAAACTGGAGAGAGGAACTTAGCCATGAGAAAATATAGAAAAATGTCCCAAAGAAAGAAGTGGCCAACTGTTAAGGAGCCACAGGGTGGCCAGCATGGTTAGTGGAGAAGGGCCCCAGCAGAGCACGCTGCAGTAGACTCCAAACTGGGGAAGAGGCACTCTTGGAGCGCTGTGGCGAGACAAGACTGGTCAGACACAGGACAGAGAGCCCGGATTCCACAGCTGCAGTCTTGGAAGCAATACAGCTGGGAGGTGACCCCCAATGCCAGGGAAAGTGACCTTCTACCCAGGGAGCACAGTCATCAAGAGGAGGTGGGAGGGGAGTGTAGAAATGCAGTGTCTCAGAAATGCACCAGTACCAGCCTTTCTGTGGACAGTCTTGGGAGTGTACTAGGGACAGAGGCCCAGGCCAGGAGGAAGCTGGTGGGTCAGCCCAGCTCAGAGGCAACAAAGTACATACAGGAAGTGAGACACGTATTAAATGCAGGAAAAACGAGTTGTACAAGGAGTGTCAGCAGAGATACTGTGTAGCTCAGCTGTGGAAATAGTTACATAGTTACAGTAAAACAGAGAGTCACTGGATTTAACCACACATCCTGCTATGTGACTACAGGGGAGAGGCTGGGGAAGGGATGTGGAGGTCCACCTGGCTGTCGTCATCGTCTGCTGTGACAGCAGGTCATAGTCTGTCTCTCAGTGATGGCCGAGGACAGGACAGAGTGTTGTCTTCCCAAGGTGAATGTTAGGCCACAGGTAGAGTGGAAAAGGGCGGGGGGAGGGCAGGGCAGAGAGCTGTTTTTCTTAAGATTTTTAAAATGCAGTTTAGCTTTTTAAAGCCTTTATGTCAAAATAAAAATTAAGAACTTTTAGGTAAATTCTTTTTTTTTTTTCCTTTTTGTCTTTTTTCGTGACCGGCAACGGATCGCAACCCTCAGTGTCGCGCCCGTACCGGACCGGGACCGGCAACGGGATCGCAACCCTCGGTGTTGGGCCCGCACCTCGCTCAGCCAGTGAGCGGCCG